TTTGAAAATAATACAATGACTCGTATAAAGACAAAGTAAAAAAAAACATTTTGGTTTGTTGCTTTTCGAAATCATATTCATCAAAATCAGACCTTTCATCAACTGCAACAGATTTACAATTGATAAATGATTTGAAAGAGTTGTAACCCTGGAAGAAATGAAAGTTGTACTCGTAAAAAACTAACTGTTATTGATGATAGGTTTGTTTGAATATTTATTTATTTTAATAAATTTTAAAGAAAATATTTTTCTTAGTCAAAGTAATTAGTGGTTTGTTCAACATTATCAGACGGACTTGAAAAAATACATTCCAGCTCATTATGTTGCATCATGTGGTAGTCTCAATGTCAATGAGTAAATTTAAATTTCATAGAAAACAATATTTAGAAAAGAAAATCTTTAAATTCATTTTTGTATTCTAGAGGATTTCATAAGCATATACTTCAGAAAGAAGCTGAACATCTTTTATTAAATCGAGTAAATCTACGAGGAACATTTCTTATTCGAAATTCAGAATAATTAGATGAACAATTTGGTCCACATGTAAAACATTATGAAATTCGTTATAATCTAATACCATGTCGTGTGTTTAGTTCTCTAGAAGAGTTGATTGGTCGTTATACAAGTATAACAACAATTATTGATTTTATAATAGTTAAGAACATAAAAAAAAATTTTTTTTTCGTTTTAAAAAAATGTTGATGATCTTTGCTGTCAATTAACAACATCAAAGGATATTCGGGAAGTTCCAAGAAATGCTCTTTAATCTATGAAAAAAAATTGATGAAGAAATGTTTGGTAAAAAAAAATTTTGTACTTATTTATTATTCTTGTTAATATTGATTGTTGATTTTTAAGATGAAATATGGACAGAAAAATGGAATTATAAAATTGATGTAACAATAAAAACAATGAAAGTTGGTACAATCTCAACACAAGTGTTTGTTGGTGAACTTGTACAACTATGTGCTGTTTGTACGAAACCACCAGATCAATCGATTTATATTGTTACTGAACTTATGTGTAATGAAATTTTATTAGATTATCTTTGTTATGAACCTGGGCAAGAACTTGAACTATCAACACTTGTTGATATAGCTGCACAGATAATTATAATAAGCATTTTAAAAATCGATTAAGAAATATTTTTTTTTATGAATTAAATAATAAATTATAATGAATATTAAGAATAAACGATTATCTCATTGAATGAAATGATTGTCGACATATTAATTAAATAGTATTTTGTTTGTTTCTTGAGATAAGAAATTTTCTAGAAAATAAATCATCTCATAACTATAAACATGTATGGAACTACGGCTTTTCCGATCCTGCATATCTCTATTCATAACACATCAAAAATTCTTATATGTTCAATATATCGAGAAAGAGAATCATTCAATCTATAACATACTATTAAAGTTATTAAACGAACAAGAATCTAGACAAAATAAATATGAATTGTTATCATTTTAGAAGTGTTGTTTTCTTATCGAGAATGAAGTTCGAGACAAAAGATAAGATCGAAAAATAACATAACTATGTAATAAAACTTTCTAACATAGTATTAAGAAATTGATATCAAATAGAACAAAATAAAAATTAATTAATTATGATTATATGGATTCTATATATGAAAATGATTGGTTTCTTATTACTGAGATTCTGAAAGGTTATTTATTAAATAAAACATTATTAAATCATCATTATTTTTATCATATTTTGGTGTAGATTGCTTTTGAAATAGCTTATCTAGAACATGAACACTATGTAAATTATAGAAATATTTCTTTTTAATTAGATTCACCGTAATTTAGCCGCTCAGAGCGTTCTCGTTGTCGAAAATGGTATCGTTAAAATTGTAAATATTAGTTTAGTTCGTATAATTAGTGAAGGTTCATATGTAGTTCTACTGATTTGTACAATTTCTTTATTATTTATTTATTTCTAAATTTCTAATATTTAGGAGAAATATTTTCAATAAAATAGACAGCTCCAGAAGCAGCTGTATATCGTAAATTTACAATTAATCAGATGTATGGTCATATAAGATCGTACTCCATGAACTTGTTACATATGGTTAAGTACCATATCCAGGCCAGAAAACAAAAAAATAATAATTATAAATAAAATAAATATTAATATGTTTTATAGATATGTTCTTTTTTTTCTAGTGTGCAATCTATCTCTAACTATAGTCCGTACTTCTTCATGTGCTGTCTTTTGTCTGAATTGAATGTCAACGAAATAATAAATGTGAATGTATAAAATAGGTGAATTATTGCTTTATGTTTAACGTTGGTTATTGTCATTTGTTTTTGATTTTTCAAAAAAAAACTAGTTAAAAAAAATTTTGAAGGGTATACCGGGTGTTCCAAAAGTTTTGCAACATTTTGTATTTTGCATATGTCTCGGCATAGGTAAATGATAGAACCTTGATTTTTTTTAAAAAGATGCGCCTTGAAAAGCTCTACAAAAAATGTAAGAACAAATCCCTATTGACTTGTTCTGATGATGTCTCCTATACTTAAAATGAATAAGTCAGATGATGGTCCTATGTCCCATGGTATCAAGTATTTGGAAGACTATTTTTGTTTCGCAATAGGAACTTGCTCATACAGATTTTGTAGAGCTTTCGACGGCGCATCTTTGGAAAAAAGATCAAGACGTTATCATTTTCCTAAGTCGAGATATTCGCAAAATAAAAAGAAGTCTCCCAAATATCGTTGTTATACTAATTACGGTGGGACATAACACCGTCATGTGACCTGTTCATTTTGAGTATTGGAAACAATATTTGACGAAGTCAATAGGGGTTTGTTCTTACAGTTTTTGTAGAGTTTTTCACGGCGCATCTTTTGAAAAAAAAGTCAAGGTGTTGTCATTTTCTCAAGGCGAAATATTTGCAAAACAAAAATAGTCTTCCAAATACTTAATACCATGGGACATAGGACCATCATCTGACCTATTCATTTTAAGTATAGGAGACATCATCAGAACAAGTCAATAGGGATTTGTTCTTACATTTTTTGTAGAGCTTTTCAAGGCGCATCTTTTTAAAAAAAATCAAGGTTCTACCACTTACCTATGCCGAGACATATGCAAAATACAAAATGTTGCAAAACTTTTGGAACACCCGGTATATCTATATCTATGTTTTGTTTTCAGATGGGTATGGGTGTGGGTCTGACTTTTTATTTCATCTACATCCACACCCACACCCAACCCGTTGCGATCCGCTTCTAAGCTTCGTTCAACAAAACTAATGACGTCTCCAGATAGAATTTGATGAACTCTATCGATTCCACATCTTAAATCTTAAATTTGAGTGAGTTGTTACTGAGAAAAGCCTTAATTAGCGGTTAATTAGTTCTTAATTTAATTAAATCGCGTCATGATTCGTTCATGAGTGGTTTCCATCAAAACCAATCATGTTTTCAGATTGAACTTGGCGAGCTCTGCCAATTCTACGCCGCACTCGTTCATTTCAAGTAAGTCTTTTAATGTAAAAATCGCTAATTAGTCTTTTATTGTTTAATTACTTTATTAAAACGTGTCACGATTCTTTTTTCATATAACATTTTCCCAATAAAATTTATTTTTTAAATTCCTATTTTGAAAATTTATATGAACTATTCCTTTAATAAATGCTCTCGATTACAAAAAATGAGCGACATCCTTCTTTCTCTTACGTTTATTGGGTACAGCCAACAAGCCAATAAATGTTTTTTCTTCTCTATCATCGTACTAGATGATGATATCATTTAGTATGCAAGCAGAACAGAAAAAAGATGTATATTTAAACGAATCAATATCAAATGCACTACGTGTGGCGACCTCTGAGTTTTTGGAATGGGCCGAATGTAAAATTGATAGTAGTCGATAGAGAAAATTATTCTCTACCGAACTGCGCTTCCAGTTTTTTCCGAAAAAATGTTCAAACGTAGAAATAATCGTCACAGCTTGACCAATCCAAACAGAGATCATCGTTAATGGCTTCAGCATGGGAATGATAACACAAAATGGCGGCTCCATACAATAAGTTATCATCATTTCTTTTATTTTCTGCTGAATTGAAACTATCTTTGAATTTTGACGATCACCTTGATCGTTACATTTATTTCAAATATTATTTATTTCAAATATTATTTTTTCCAAATAAAAAATGAATTACAATAAATGCATACAAGTATAGAAACAGAAAAATACAACAAATTCAGTGATACAAACAAAAAAACACAAAAAAGATTATTGCTTGTGCGTCAGTTTTGAGCCATATTTTTTTCTAAAACGTGTTGCTTGTTGTATCTTGATCTAGATGGAAGAAGAGGTGTTTTATAAGAGATAAATCAAAAAGAAATGATGCGATGCACAATCAAAAGACGAGTGTTAAAAAAATTGTTGAAATTGCACTTGTTATCAATTGTATTGTTAAACGAAATATATTTAATTAATGATAAAACTAATAATACAAGTTCGTTTATTATTTTTCTACTTTTATTCAAAGAGAACACGTGTAAGCTTTCAATGTGTTCAACACACCATTTTCAAACACAGAAGTAAAAGAGTTAGAATTCTATAAAAATATTTTTTTCTTTTCTATTTTATTCATATAGTGATATTGACAAATACTGTAATGCGATAACAATATACCTTTCTCTCCCTCGCAATGCACTGTTCGTTAACATTACTATATGAATAAAATAGAAAAGAAACAAATATTCTTATAAAATTCAAACTCTTTTTCTTTTATGCTTGAAAATGGTGTGTTGAACATATTGAAAGTCTACACCTCTTCCTTTTGAATAAAAGTAGAAAAAAAGATAAACGAACTCGTATTATCATCTTTATCATTTGTGTTTTTGGGGCGGAATGTAAACATGGAGAAGAACATGGTGTCGAATCTATGCATATACAACGATAAAAATCATTTGTGTATTGGCGGAATAGTAGTACTATTATGCGCTATTCTTCTATGTATGTGAAAGAATGACCAATCCTCTGTACACATAGAACAATAGTGCCATTATGCGCTAGTCTCATTGGTCGTTTACTTCTATGGTTCGCTATTGGTCTCAATTAGTTGATGATTTTCTCAGAAATAACTCTGAGGCCGAAAAATTCGAATTCGTCACAACAACTGTCTCCTATCTAGTGACAATTGGTGTTAAGGAGAGCCTTGGAAAAAATGTTCAGTGAATTAGCGCCACCTAGTGCATTGGTATGTTGACGATTTGAGAATGATTCGATGATTCATCCCTATTTGATGGTAGACTAATTAAGGCCTTCACCTCACTAGAGAAATAATGGTGCATTAATTTTGAATTAAATCGACACCTATTACTTTAATCCATCAATCAGAATACTGAACTCGTCACTAAAATGTAATGTAAGTGCGTAATTGTGGCACATTTAGCGAAACGAATTATCGCCTCTGTATTGTCTCGATAATACATTAAATCGATTTCGAAATTTATTATCAAGGAATTTATTTTTCTGGTCATACACTTCGTCAAAAATTTCTTAAAAATGATTCTCGTCATTCCTATTTTTCAATCTTTATTTCGATGCAATTTGTAGGGCATTATCTCGAATATATGTGGCTGTAACGTGACTTTATCAAGGCACATGCATTACTTTTATTAGTGGATAAAGTTCTTCTTTGATTGGTGTATTAAATTTAATTCGGCATTAAATATTCGAGTGAAAACAAGGTCTAATGATATGTGGTCTGGTGATTTAAAGAAAAAATGCACTTTGACACAGATACCACTTTTATTGGACGAATTTTTAGCAGGAGATTCTCCTGAGTTTTGTATTTATGAGTTTGAAGTTCGTTTTGGGTGAGAGTGAACCTTTTCCCAGAAAAGTGAAGAGTTTATTAATAGATAGTGCCACAGGTTTCACAAAATTTGAATTTTATAGAAACAATCGAGTTTCACTCAAAACAAATTTCCGATTCATAAATAGAAAAATCAGGAAAATTTTTTGTTAAAGACTTCTCCAATAGAAGTGGTGTATATGGCAACGTGCATTTTTTCTTAGAAACATCAGACCACAGATCAGAATTTCACATTGTACAGTTAATTGATATACGAAATAGATGGTTTTTTTGTCGATTGTATTGTGTAATTGAACCGGTTGAAAAAATCTCTACCGGTTCCAAGCCTGGATCTGAGTTAGAATCCTTATCTAGATAAAGCTTCAGGTCCAGTTTGTATTTAGTATCAAATCTGCATAGAACTATGTGAGGAAAGACAGCAAGAAATAACTTCATATTGACTTTTTTTTCTTAGAGTAACTCACAAATAATAAAAATTTTTATCTTTTATTTAACCAGGTCCAAAAAATCATGGACTCGGCACTACCTTATAGTAAGATGGTTTTTAAGCCTGAAGAAGGCATTTTTGTGGAAAAAGGCCTTTAAAGGTCGTTCTGTCATTATACTTTTTAGTAGCACGGTGGATTATGTGACGATGCGGTCGTTTACGATGATCGTAGTCATTGGTCTGGGACAGTATCTTGCTAGCGGCTGTTTTTTCGGAGTTGTTCAGATATACTTGACCTGCATTAGTTTTTGAAATGCATAATAATAATTTAGATAAAATTATTTCGTATTATCAACCAATAATAACTGCATTGAGAACAGGTTGCCCATGTGCATCCTATCGCCTACTGCACACACCACCCAAAACATGTTTCTTATCTATTTTTCTCTCTGACAAGGACACAAAGATAAAATAATGTCTTAAACTTTTATGGTCCACTTTACTTCAATGTCAATGAGTTGAGAAGTTGATATCAAGCTATGTCAGGAAGGAATTATCAACTTGATCGAATGGATGAAAATGAACGTGATTGTTTCGATTGACAAATACTATTGGATAGTGAAGAAAGATTCGGAATATTAATCAGTTTATTTCAAAGCAGAATTAACATTCAATGAGTACGATTTTCGTTGATTACTCGTTTCGAACTATCAATGATAAATATATATAGCAGAAAGAAAAAAAATCAAAGCTTTTTTGAAAATTTTCATATTGAAAGCAGACATTGAACCGATCAGTTTTATTCTCAAATCTTCCATAATAGATGATTTCCCGATTAAGCTTTCCAGTATCGTCTTCGTTCTTTGGTTCGAATTATACGTCGAACTTCACTCGAGTAAGGTTTTTGTTTTGTTTTTTATTCTGAATTTCAAATGCCTATTTTGATCATTTCTGTCAGATTCTCTTCGCTAGTAAACAACATCGATCGGCATCAAGCAATATCCAGCTCAATGTAAATCAGTCTTTCAGTTTCTTTTCTATTCTCGTATATATTGGTTTAAAAATAGGAAGTAGTAATTGTCAGTGCCGTACGAACACCGATCGGCTCATTTCGTGGTAGTCTCTCATCCATTCCAGCCGCTAAACTCGGTGCCACAGCCATCAAAGCATGTTTGGAACAAGCAAGTGTGTTTTAAAAATTTCTTTCTTCAATCATCAATTATTTTTATCAATCTAATAGAAGTACCAGCCAACTGTGTCCAAGAAGTCTATATGGGTAATGTTCTTCAAGCAGGTGTTGGTCAAGCACCAGCTCGTCAGGCAGTGATCTATGCAGGTGCGACGAATCTTCACGGGACAAGAAACAATCTCTATTCACTTTTCTTCTCAAACAGGTTTGCCGAAAGATACACTTTGTACTACAGTGAATAAAGTCTGTGCCAGCGGTATGAAAGCCATAATGATGGCTTCGCAGAGTCTCATGTGTGGCCATCAGGATGTGATGCTGGCTGGCGGCATGGAAAGCATGTCAAATGTACCATACTATTTTCCACGAGGTAAAAAAAGAAAAGACGTTTTTCGTTTGTTGATATCGTTTTCTTGGATATTTATCAGGTGAAACATCCTACGGAAGCTTTCAGATGGAAGATGGTATCGCTAAAGACGGTGTTACAGATGCTTACGATCAAATTTCGATGGTAAATACATACTTTTTGACTGACTTTTTGAAAGAAAAATAGCATTCATAGGGTGCATGTGCTGAGAAAACTGCCAAGACAGAAGGTCTGAGTCGTGAAGATCAAGATGTTTATGCAAAACGATCCTATGAACGAACAATCAAAGCCTGGAAGGTTTACAAGTCTTTTAGTTTTCTTTTTTTTTTTCGCTTGTTTGCTTAATATTTTTCTCTTTCAGGAAGGCATATTCAAAGACGAAATCATTCCTATTACAGTCACTGCCAAGAAAAACGAGACTGTAGTCGATCAAGATGAAGAATTCAAAAAGGTCGATTTCGAAAAGATGAAAACAGTACAATAAAAGACGTCTTCTATATTCGCTCGTAATCTTTTTTTTCTGCTCTAATTTTCTCCACAGATGAAGTCTTTTTTTGTGCAAAATGGTACAATCACCGTCGCGAATGCCTCGAAAATGAGCGACGGTGCTGCTGTATGTCTCTTGATGACACGTCAAGCTGTTGATGCACTAGGTTGTAAGCCATTGGCACGTGTTGTAGGTAAGTCTAGCGGACTATCGTCTAGAAAGATCTCACTCGATTTCAAATGTCTAGCATTTGCCGATGCCGAGACCAATCCAATTGATTTTAGTATTGCTCCTACAATGGCTATCTCAAAGGTTCAAGAAATCTTCGTAATGTTTTCTCGAAATGGTATTTTTTTTGGTGCATTCTAGCTTTTGAAAATGGTCAATGTCAATAAAGACGATATTGCCATGTGGGAAGTTAATGAAGCGTTTAGTGCTGTCGCTTTGGTTAATGCAAAATTACTGGGTATCAGCCAAGATAAGTTGAATATTCATGGCGGTAGTGTAGGTCTTGGACATCCGGTACGTATTTTCTCGTGTTTTATCGAAAATGGTCATGAATTTTTTCCAGTTCGGCATGAGTGGAGCTCGATTGGTCGTCCATCTGTGTCACAGTTTGAAAAAAGGTGAAAAAGGTGTCGCCGGGATTTGCAACGGTGGTGGTGGAGCATCGAGTATACTCATTGAGAAACTATGAGGCTCTTCAATATAACAATGTCTATTATTTTATTCAAATAAAACGATTTGAACTATTGTCTCACAACTAAATCAACTGATTGTTGTGTGTGTGTTTATTTTTCTTCCTCTGAATGTCAATTATTCACGTACGTTGTTTATTTTAACAATGTATATGAGCTACATTGCGTGTGCAAGAAAAGGACAATAGAAATGAATCGACAATCACGATCAGTTGTTATTTTCGAAATTTGATCGACAAGGAAAACTGACCCTATTTTGATATTCGAGATCAATCGTGGCATGGTCGCTTTTTTTTGTGGCTTTTCTCATTGATGCTCAATAGGGTGACATTGAAAAATGAGCAGAAGCGATGAAAGTACAAATCTCAAATCAATCATCGATCTCTTCGCGACGAATTCCTTATTATTTCCCAAGCTACATTCGGTAGTCGTCTCAATGAATGCCATTTTCAATATTATAACAACATTGGCAAAGAAAATTTGAAGCAATTGTATGAGATGACGTGTGTAGTCCAATCGACTACCTATGGAATTTGAACAAGTTTATTCTTGTGAAATAAATCAACCATCGATACGCTATATTGAATCTGATGAAAACAAATAAATTTATTTGCATTTTTGATGCATACATGCGATTGAGTTGGATCGTATTAAAGACAATCATGCATCGAATGTTCAATATGGTCGAGAAGAATAATGCAGTCAAAGATTTAACTGATCTTCAGATCATTTTGAATAGATATTAAGTCAGAACCAAAGACTCCAGCAAAAATACATTTATCAAGGATTCATCCAATAGTGTTTCCAAGTTCACAGATAGATCTCCTGATATTATCATATACGAAATAGTTGAAAATGTAATTGCAACAAAAACGCCATATCTGCTGAATAGCTGTGTCAAAATTAATCAGTCTGGAATAAACCATTGAAGCAGATAGAAAATATCTGGATAAGCCTTACAGAGGCGTTGTCCTGCATGTTTTTGATAAGTCGCAGCATACTGTCCATGAAGTGTTGTATTCTGTACATTTACTTTTATTTTATCGAAGATTTTATTGATCGATTTCAAACCGGAGTCTTGACACCACCACCATCATCAACTGGTAGTTTGTGATGGCGCAACACACTCAATCAGAGTTGATCAAAAAAGACGCCAAACTTTCATTTTCCAAATTGTTAAATATCGGTAATCGGTCGAAATGAGCCATTAGATAGCCGTTGTGATTAGGACCCAGCAATACAGCTCGTGAGAGACATTTATATGTTTTAAGTGCAATTTTACCTTCTGAACATTCAATTACATCTGGATAAGGCTCTGAACCGGTAACTAATACTAAGAGAAATATGTCACAACAGATAGTAAGGAACGATAATTGCTCACACATTCGACGCGATGGGTTCTACCGGTGCGACCCACTACAAGGTGGATCCAAAAGTTCTTTTAGCGCAAAAAAATTGAATATCGCTACCATATCTTGACCAAAGGGACTGATTCTGTTACCACTGATAAAGAAATATTTATAGCTCATATTCATAAGAGAAATGCTGATAAAAGCTGTTTTGAAGTATTACAACTGGCATGGATAAAGAAATGGAACCTTTGATAAATTATGAAAAAACCAATATTCATATCGCCGCGAATGTGTTACAAATAAAATTTTTGTACAAGATATCATGAAAGATGAAATTTAGTATTTTCACTAACATTAGAGATGTATATTCAAGTTGTTATAAGTGATTTATATGAAATCTGAATTGAATAAAGAAAAAATTCCAATATATATATATTGCTCTGAATTAAAACTTATAATAAACAATCATGACGATGCATTTTGCTTTCATTTTTCTTCTATACCATACACTATATAAAAGGAGCACATATTACATACTTACCGTTGTATTTTACATTATCGAACGGATTATATTATATCAACAACCGCTGTTGCTAGTGTTGGTGATATGACAAAATATGTTGTCGAAGAACTTAATGCTTTGTCTTCACCAGTAAAAATCATTTTATTAAATCGAGAATCTCGTCCTTAGTTTGATCAATAACCAAATATTATATTTCGTATAACTGATTATTCAGTTGTATCACTTACAAAACATCTTATTGATGTTGATGTACATGAAGCAATGATAACTGCTCGTAAATCATCATCACGATGTAAATGATTTATTCCATCGGAGTGTGGCGGTGATATCGAAAAATTTCTACAACATCCAGAATTTTATATATCAACATATGCATCAATTCGAAAATTATTAGAAGAAAAAAATGAAATTGAGGGTGTTGATGTGGGTGGGTATGGAAGCGGAAACCATCAACATTCACACTCGCACAGTCACAATCAGTCCGATATTTTGTCGAGGTCGATTAGTGATGTCCGACTTACGAATAGTGGAAAGAGAGAGAGAGAGAGAGAATTGAATTACTTTGTGAAAGTCGGAAATTCATTGTTGGTGTCTCTTGATAACGAGGCAGTAGAGATACATTGAAATCACTTGTCGAAGAGACTGAATTTGTGGCACAATCTGTTCTTTCCAACTGCCATTGACGATTAGAGTAATACGATCATCACTAGCCTGCTGAATGTATTTCTCGCATTCATTTCTGGCTTCAAATGTTTGAACGTTATTGACTATAGATCGAGGTTGCTTCAACGTTGCAACTAGGAATCCATCCATAAATGATGTCACCTTCTTGTGGCCATTTCTGAAGACTCCTCTCCCCAAGGTGTGGGTGTGGCTGCAGTCGGTTGTGGGTGTTGATCTGTTCGTCATATGCATCCACATCCGCATCCGCACTCACGCACACCTACACCCACATTCCACACCCACACCCACATCCTTTTATGTCGATAGCTGACAGTCTTCAAATCGGTATTTATTTCTTTGGCGTGTTTGATCAGTTCTTCGATCACCAGCTTGTCTTTCACGACTGTTTTGAACGAAACTAAAAATGGAGAAAAAGAATATCGTGTAGATGCGAAACGGAATGCATTAGCAGAAACTTCGACACGTTGTAGGTTTGTTTGAGTAGAAGGTGTAGGTAAATCATCGGGATTTTCCTGGTTTATTCTCCCTACTTTTAATTTTTTCGTTGTAAACTATCAAGAAGCACGACTTTGAAGAAGTTGTTGACCAGTTTGGTGTTGATTGACACTTGTATCACATGATCTGCTTACATCGTCAATGAGTCACTTGGAGGCTTGCGCCCTCTGATTATTTATAACTATCGGTTCAGGCATGAACGTCACTAACGACTGATTCATCAACGTTGAGCGAGTGATTAAATTACTAAATGGTATGCTATGAGAGAACGAATGCGCTTGTTGTTGGTACGTGACTTGTTCTCCCATAAGAGCTCGCATACATTGTTGCATTCCTTGATTTGCAAATACATATTGTTGTTGAAGTGATTGTTGCTGATGATGAAGGAATTGCTGTTCCCCATTAGGAGTGGAACCTGGTTAACAGACATTACGGATGTTTGCTCAATGGGTAGACCATTATTATTATTTCATTTTTGTATCGGCACTTGATCATTAGAGTAATTTCCATTTTAACCGAAAACTACTTGATGATTTGCTGTCTGTACCGTCAGACCATACGCTTGATCGAAGTTCATGTGTATTTGTTGGTAGGGAAATCAGTAAGATTGAGAGATGGGATACATTTACGTGAGAACTTCGAGAGTTTTACACTTCGAAATTTGCGCATAAACCAAAAGAAAAAAAAATAATACACCACACTACTTACAGCGGTATTACATACGTCTTATCGAGAAGAAGGAGAACAAGAGAATGATCTATGAAAATTCTTTCTTTCAACATGCATTGTCGATTTTATTCTGTAAAAGCTGTGTTTTTTTGTCAAAATAATAAAAATGGAAGGAAAAAATGGGTTTCGAGTGTGCGTGTAGCGGAGTGTAGCTAAGTCTGTGAGTGCAAGGATATTCTGTTCACTTTCATCCACACAGTCACACGCACGCTCTGGCTCACAAAGGAAACAACTGTGTGACGATTTGTCTCGTCACAAAAATAAAGTCATTATGAGTTCATTGCTTGTCAGAGTGCTTCTGCTTATTTTTTGTATTCTTGTGACAAGAAAATCAAAACAATCATCCTATTTACTCTTACTGATCTTGTCCAATGTTAGTCGAACGCTGCCTGATATAAGTAATTTGTTTATTCAATTCGTCAATTTGGTTCCGAAAGAAGTCAATAGCGTTAAAACACTGCTCTATTTGATCAGTACTTGCATCAAGCCGTTTGTTGAAGTATTCAAGTAAATGTTCAACGTCCGAATGATTGGAGAAAAGAGTAGTTCCAACGGTTGATCCCATTGTCGACTGTAGAGGATATTGGGCTAGGAAAGAAATTCGATTAGATTTATTCAGCTTAAAAATAAAGATATGTCTGGTCTATAGACTGTAGATCAAGAATTTTGAAAAATTGCTGTAAAAAACAATCATCGATGCTTTAATAACATATGACAAGTGGCGTATCAAAAGTTCCAATGAAACTTTGTACAACTCCCAAATCCTAATAACTTCCGTATTTAGAAGATATAATCAAACGAGCCTCGGTGCATGAAACACAAGTTTCAACCTTTCTAATTATGGCACTACAGAAAAAAATGAATATTCTAATACATAATCTGTCTTTTATGTAATGGTCAGAACAAGTCATCGAGCATCGTTGTTCACTATAATGTCTCTTACATGGATTTGAACTGGCCTTCTCGTAGAGTCACACGGCTACGATAACATCATAGTGCATATTCTCGAATGTTGGTCAACAGGCTTACGACCTTTGATCTGAGTATAAAACTGAGAGAAACGCAAACGTTATGCTTACATTTCATTTTTTTTTGTATATGAGTTCTATCTAAAGCATATACTCACTGATCAGTTGGGATGATGAAGATCCTGATGGTTCAATTGTTATAGACTCTGTTGATGCTTTTCGAGCATTCGTTGTGTGATAAAATCGTTGAAGGTTTGGATCTGTCTTATTTGCCAGGTTCCATACCAAATTTTCATTTGAAAGGGTATTTCCATTCTCTTCTATGAGTCGCAGTTCTAATTCAGGTGTTCGTAGCGGTTGTAAAGTAGGCTGATAATAAAAATTGAAAAGAGACGTTACTAAAACTCATTCTTTTCGTATAATATCATTGACTTTTTGGAATGATGTACATTTCACATTTATTAAAAATTTATATTTCAGTTTGATTTTTCATTAAGTAATCCACGTGAAGAATAAAACGACATTTAGATTTCCAAAAAACCTAAATCTGACTGCGACTGAAGTTTCAAAATATAGTAGAACTATTTTGATAGTGACGATCATGACTATAAGCTATGTAAATGCTTGAAGGTGATTTCATGATAGAATATTTGTAGCACAGCTCTTTTAAAACACTAGGATCTTTGGGAAACCTTTAAAATCACCTTCGACTTAACATTTTTGAAAAGTATTATTTTAATGATTCCATTGATGCTGTTGAGAAATAATGCCAATGTTTTCAGCATTTTTTAAAACTTAATCTCTTCTATGCTATTCTTTTGGTGTCGAGTACCATTTTGATATTCTACAATGGCGCGTCAATACCGTCATCTTTTCGTGATATTCCTCTTCCTTTTGGAAGTTCCTCTAACGCAGAAGAACCGATAGAATAATTGGGTCAAAAGATGAAATAGAAACAAATATTTTACATTCGAAAATAGTGAGAATAAGTTGTTTGCATAAAACTCCACCGAAAAATCTCTGTAGTGTCAAACTCTCAAAAAACCTATGAGAAAACTAAGGATTTAGAAATCAACAGCTGAAATTCTATTGCTCATGATTGATTAATTAATTATCCTTTCCAATTTACAAGGAACTCTTCTACACAGTAATGTTGTACCATATCTGCTCTGACTTGTTGCATTAGTTCTGTATAGTACGAACACTGTCATAGATGGTTCATTGATTTTTACAGCTAGACTATTGGACTACACTAATCAACGTCATTCTTGAAAACCAAACAGCTTTGATCATTTGATAAAAGCTAGTGATTGATGAAAAGATGCTCGTAAGAAAAAGTCTGATGAGGGAAAGAAAAGTGCCTTGCCTTATAGGACATGAAACAAAGTGAATATTGAAGAAAATGACTTACGTAGATAGTTGCTTGTGTGAGATTCGTTTGTAAATCATTTTCGAGAAGATTCTCGTGAAATGCTAGAAGTAGTTGGAAAATAGGCCAACAGCAAAGTTTAACAGTGAAAAATACGGCACCAACTATTTCGATAAGTAAGAAAAAGAAGAGAAGCGTGTGAAAAATAAGTGCATGACGGTGTATAATTGGGGATTGTATGTTTTCAAGAAAGTAAGTTTCTTCTCGCAGTCGAACGACGAACATTGTAGTATTCGAAGCATATCGCAAGTACTGTCCGTCTTTCTCAAAATAGAGATGGTCCGAGAGATCATCGGTATGTTTTATAGTCGGTGCCCATCTACCATCAAAAACTATTTTATCATTACTTCTTAATGGCTCTGTGATATTAACAACTTTGATGAGACGTACATTGAAGTTAGTCCACTGTCCGATAGTTTGATTGTTTGTATAGAAAAGAGTGCACACATCGAGTTCGCCGACACGATGAATTCCAGATGGAACATCATTAACACTTGGTGATCCATATAGACAAAGTCGAAGAGCTCCGACGAAGTAAGGTCCATTGATCTTGACTTGAACAGTGTCAGTATGGGTGCGCAAATTAAAACTGAATGATCCACTAGGATGGCTATTTGAAAGCGAGCAATTTGTTATCTTCATAGATTTAGGAGTGTGCGTGTGTCTGATGCGTTCAACGATGATATTGTCACACTGTGCTCCAGTGTTTATCAAATGGACAGTCATCATAAAATTTTGACGCTTGAGCATATCGAAAATCTTCCAAAAAGTGCCATCTGTTTCAGGTAATGGCAGTTGAAGGCCATTGTCGAATTTCGTATTTAGCTGATTGTTTTTGCACAACTTGCGATACGTTTTTGCTGTTTCAATTGGATACGAATGAAAATAATCGTAGGCAAACCAACAGGAAAAAATAATAAGAATTAAAATAATAAACGATATGAGACCACCTGTCCAGTGCTTTCCTTCTCCAATAAGATCGATTTTCTTGAAAATGTATTTTACTCGTTCACGATATATATTTGTCGTGGTTAGCTGCCGTCTTTTGATGAGAAACATAATTAACCACACAACGAAACTGAATACTATGGCCAGAATAGCCCAAAAGAGTGGCGAAGTAACCATACAATGAGGTGTAGGATCGATACTCAAGAAGTTAAGTATTAATAGATCGTCATAATCGTCAATAAGAGGTGAATCTGGATAGGAAAATGTTTGGGTGTAAGTCAGAAAGTTAGTGAGATTGACATCGTTGCTAGCACCCCGTGGACAAAATGACATCGAATTGCATGGTTGACAATGACGCGATGGATGACCGCCCGGATTTTTTGTCCCTGGTGGACAAACCATGCAGGGACCAAGGTCAGGTACGTCTTTGTATGATCCACTCATACATGGCTTCGGTTTTAGAACGCATGCTTCGCAATTCCTAATGAAAGAGAGTACTAGTCGTTTACAAAAACCTAAATCTCACTTAAAACATTGTTTTTTTGTTTTGGCTACTGTCGACTATTGAGCAAGTATGCAACAGATTTGAACTTTCCGGATTGGATCGCACTCACAATGGAGGCGTGTGTGATGTAATGTACAGTCAATGGGCATCTTCAGATCAAATTAAAATTCTCACTGCCAAACTCATAAATTTAAAATATGACGTCTCTACGACGCACTTGGATCCGAGATAATCGAATTTCAAGATATATATAGTTTAGACATAAGAACGAAACAACATGAGAATCAACGAGTATGCCAGAATGAATGGGCACGTTTTGTATTGTATTTTTTCATCATCTAATACGCTTTATTAAGATACAAAATATACCACAAGATGCAGCGTGAAAAAGCTCTACAATCTACAATACAAAGTTTATTTTATAGCTATATTTAAGTTATTCTTCCACATACACAATCTGAAGGTCAAACGGCTCTTACATGATGATTTCATCTACCTACACGAAAATACCATTGCACATACACATCAGAAATCATTGACATGCTGTGAAGAAAATTTTAGGCATTTCATGCATAATCACGGGTGTCTATCAAATAGTTACGATCTCAATATTTTTGATTATTATATGTGGGACATTATCGCTAATAATATGCAATGCAATAAAGTTAAAAATTATGATCGATCAGTTGATGAAATAAGAAAAGGGATTTCTCGTGTACCAATAGATAATTTGATTCGCAACGTCGAAAATCGGTCACATAGAATTTTGTCATTTATAAAATGCAAAAGTGTATGTATGAAATGAACTTTGTATTGTAGATTGTAGAGATTTTCATGCTATATCTTGTAGTATGTTTGCGACCTATCCAAGCGTGACGGAATCATGTTTTTTTCACTTTCTTTCTTCAATATCTCAATACATTCAAATCGGATAACGCTGATTACTTTCAGAAGATACATAAGCTGGACTGTTCTACACGTCATAAAAGTTTCATTTGATTTTGTCCTTCTTTTATAGTTTTATGATTAATATATAGGTCCGTGATGGAATCACCAAAAATGAACATCGAGTTGCAGTGTTGTATGAAGAACTAAAAACTTTAGCACAACCACAGGAGTGATAAAAAAGGCTTTGTATACGAAAGTTATAGCTTAGATGACTAGCTATATGTAGAAAAAAAAAACAAGTCAAAATATATAGGTAGTTCGGCCTCACAGATGAAAAATAGTGTTGTAACGGAATCACGCTTCAAAAATGTTGATGTATAGTAATAGTTTATTTCTGCAGAAAGATAGGAATAGTTACTCAAAGTTAACATACAAATATCACTTAGAATAAAACAATTAATAAAATTATTTCAAACAGTCCTAATAATATAAAAGTACTTAGAACATACCAAAATTAGGGGCAATGACACTTTAATACTGAATATTAAGCTTTAAGAAACTACCTTTCTATATAGTCTGATAGAGAAAAGAATGCTCTATTTTTCTATGCTATTTGATCATACTTTAACTAATATCACAATAATAAAATTTTGATAAGATCTGTTTCATTACCATATGTGCTGATTATATTAATGCACATTTTCAAAAAATACTCAGTGGTATTTTTTGAATAATATTTGATCGAAACAAGATAGAGAATTGCAGTTTTCACTGTTGGAAAGAGGAGATGAAGACGCATCGAACTATGTACTCCAGGATTTCCTAATATGTTTTCTGCAAGGTTTTCAATTGACATTTTTAAGAACAAGCATATCTAGTAAGTTGTTTACAGTGAATTTTCAATTATCAAGTATAAATTCAAACTACTAATCGAAGATCTATAAACTGTGGAAGATTGAGATGGATAATATGCGTTTTAGTCAAGTCTTCAATACAATTTTCAAGCAAAAGCTGTGAAAAAAACTCACTTTTATGTTCTTTTCATTTTTCATAAAGAAAGAACATTTTTTCGTCACTTAGAAAATCGAACAAAAATACTTCAGAAACCAATATTAGAAAAATCTATAATATACGATTCGATGTATCTTCATTTCCTCTTTCCAACGGTGAAAGCCGCAGTTCTCTATCTTGTTTCTATCAAATGTTATTTAAAAATACTCACTAACATTCATGAAACAGTGATATTTGCGAACAAATGGATCTTATCAAAATTTATTATTGTGATATTAGTTGAATATAGAAAGGTAATTTTTTAAAGCTTAATATTCAGTATTAATGTGTCACTGCCCCTACTTTTGGTATGCCCTAAGTATTTTTGAACGATATTCATTAATTAAGATAAAAAAATTGAACAAAAAAACGATAAGGATCGTGCAATGTGATTGGTAGATCTAGCTCGACATTAGAAAACAGCATAAAATGGTGATAATAAAGTTGTCACTATCAGTTATTACCATTTAAATGATATTAATTGAAAACAAATCCTTTAAAAGCACATGACAACTACCATAAACCAACTGCCAGCTTTATTGGTAAGGTCCATAAATCTCTTCTACGTCTCAAACATTCACCTAAAATGATGATATAAAACAAAGATAATGTCTCTAATTTTGGTAAAAAAATTTCGCTATCTAATAGTGATTCCATCACGCCCATTCAACTGGACTCGAATGCTTTATTAAAAATGCGAAGTAGTTTATCTGACAGTGCATAAAAAAGCAACGTTAGAGAACTTATCGGTAAAATAAAAAAATCCTAGCTTAAGGCAAAAAAAACGAATTATAAGATATTTTCGTGACGGAATCACACTAACAAATGGACTAGTTGACAAATACAACTAACTTTTTCGAGCAACGGCGAAATCTAGGTCTTTCGACGTGAGCATAGAGATCATTCAAATTACTTTTACATTATATGATCGACTTTAGAAAAAGCATGTTTCCTTATACAAAAAATCAGACCATAAAAATGACGACACATAATTTGGTCTTCATTGAGTCTGCGAGGCATGTCTTTAACAAAAGTTGTTTCTCGAAGACAGGTATATCTGCGTAGATAAAAAATACATTTGCCCATGCTGTCAACATTGCTCTACAAGATGGTCATATTTGTTTTGTCTAACTGTATAAGTTGACTTCGCCCACATCAGTTGACCGTTACGTTAACAAGTCCTTTGATTTTGCTTTTGATAAAGCATATCAAGTGATGAAAAGATGAAATAAGAAAAAATGAATTCATCGTGTACCAAAAAATCATCTTTTTGTTGCATCGAGATTTGATCACTCAAAATTTTGCCATTTGGAAGACAAAAAATGCCATTATAAAACAACGCGTTCATTTATTCCGGCCTACTCGTTAATTCTCATGTTTTTTTGTCCTAATGTCTAAACTATGTATATCTTGAAATTCGATTATCTCGGATCCGAGTGCGTCATAGGGACGTTATTTTTTAAATTTATGAGTTTGGCAGTAAGAGTTTTAATTTGATCTGAAGATATCTACTGGCCATGCGTTACATCATACACACCTTCATTATGAGATTCGATTGTCGTTATCCAAGCGATGATGGAATGTTTCGGCATTTTTAAGAGCTGTTCATCAGGGTTGCTCTCATTCCATATAATTACTAGTTACTATTGTATTGTGTTAGACAAGATCGGTTTCGAATAGAGAGATTGAGGCTCCGTCAACTAGAATCGACAGTGTAACGAGAACGGAAGAGTTAAGAATGTCAGAGTTATTCAGCATGATATTTATTCGACAACTCCATATACGAAAACCTATCAATCTCACATAGAACATAAACTTATATAGGAGCGAAAACGAAAAAAGAGGACGAAGAAAAGAATGGCAGAGAGAGACAATAAGGAACGAAGAAGAAAGTAAGAGAGAAAGTCGCGATATTAAGGGCAAGATTACATATTTATGGGCATCCATAGCATGGAAAATGTGAGTTTCAAAATTGTGGACAACGAGTCTTTGATGCGAGTTCTTTACAATTGATAACATATGGATAGATTTTGTTAAAAACTGTCAAAATTTTATTCTGATGGTCACTAAGCTAGAATAAGCTTCAAAGATAGTCCGAAGTCAAGAATAATCGAATTTGGAAAGTTTGCAATCGATGCATACATGTTCCAAAGTCAACAAAGATTTTAGGTACAGTGACTTGAAATGTAAAGTCACACTTATAATTCTGATCTGGAATTGCCAAACTAATCTAAAATTCAAAAGATTTGGACATTATACATACTTTTCGATGAGCGTAGGAAGGCTTCCTGCGTCGGTGAACGGTATATAAAGATATTTGCGGTCGTCACGGAAGATTAACAAGTTTTTTGAGTGTGCAAGAATAAGAAGAAAAGATGTTTTCGGTAACGGTAGAAACGTTTGTTGATTATTAGGAAGAATAAAGTCAGGTTGATCACCATCAATATTCGAATATGTTGAAACATTTTTAAATACATGTATTTCGGATTCTGACCAAGTTTGATTTTTCGACTTGTACACGAGTACAGCGAGTGTGCCTTGATCATCAAGCCAAGCAACTGAACGACCAAAACCCATCTCATGCATACTAGTACTGGATCTTGGACTTATTTCACTAGCACTGACATTACCACGCAAACAATTCGTGATGTCAGACATTTTAAAAACTGCCATTGTGTTGAATGCAGCATTTCCGAGAGCTAATAGCCTTCCTGAAGGGTCGATCGAAACTGATACGCCATGATCTCGATTGTAGATTATCTGTTTAGACTTGAGAAGGCGAAATAAAGAGCCAAATCTACCAGAAATATTAGAAATAGGACATATCGATAACATTTTAGGTCGAAGCCTAACTGGATATGTTTTTCCGAGATCGACACCAAAGCCTTGAGATGGACTGTAGCCAGTTACGACAGCCCATTCATTTGTTAGATCGACTGCGGTGGGGATGAACTTTTCTGTATTGTCGTCGAAGAATGTATTGTTGAACGTTTGAACTACTTTGTTTGTCGACAAATCATAAGAAAGTACAAATGAATCGGCAAAAACATAAGCATACTTCTCTTGTGGATCGATTTTTAACAATATGGATTCCTGATGACCATCTGTCCAAATTGTCTCATCAAGCATTGTAGGTAAAGTCTCTGTATTACAGCTGGTAATGTTAGAAGTAACTAGACTAAGTATAATATGATGCGATGTTGTATTCTCACTGATTTGTAAGAATGAAAATGAATTACTTTTCAGTTTCATCATCAGAGCAGAAAGACTGTAGACGTTGAAGTTGTGATATCGATAGCGAATCTCACACTCGACATCGAAATTTTTCGACAGAAAACGAATAATATATCTTTGAAAACTATTAAATGCGGCTATAGTGAAATTATTGTTGAACGACACTCTTAATCCACGAGCAAAATCATCATTCAGCTTATATTTATTAGCCAAAATCCGCCATTTGAATGTCAGCAATAAAACGAGTAGAACTTTCGTCCACATTGTCAAATATTTCGTTTAAAAGCTCTCAACCTACATCGAAAACAATTAGAAGATTTTCTATACATGAATTTACCGTGTTTCTTTTTTTGAAACTTGCAATGAGCAAGACAGCCATTGATGGATAGATATTAATAATTAAATGGAGAAAAAAACATAGAATAACCCAAACTATATATAACTATGAGACAAATTTATAACATATTTATCATTCTTATTATCCATTGCTCTAATATGTTTTCATTTTCTCGTATGGATGTCATAGCCATAAGTATTTTCAGTAACATATCATTTTAGTTGTGGATATATCTATAATAACAATTTGAAGTACTACTTCTGCGTTTGTCAGCAATAATGCATTTAGCCTATCTCATGTCTGTCATTATGTCTCTCTCGCATGATATGCGAGCTTAAACAGAAGAGAAAGCGAAGAAAGATGGCATGTGTCAGGTATAGATAAGCAAGCAGAAAGAAAGAATACAATAGAATGAAGAAGAAAAGGAAGCACAATTACTTGATCTAGACCTAGTATGTTTTATATGTGCAAAACACATCTTCCTTACCTTTTATCTGTGGGAGTATCATCGCACATTATATGTTAAAAGAATTTAATTAAGTTAGTTCATTATGATTATATTTCAAATACAAAGTAAAAATACCGAAAAAAAATGAAAACAAAAAGATGAACTATAATTAAATTCCACTTTTCGTATACTGATCGAAACTGACTTGTTTAGTTTTGTTGTTATTGATGACACTAAACAAATTTGAGTTCTTATTTCCTTCTATCATCGTTTTCTTTTTATTATATGCCTCCTTTTCTTCATCATCATCATCATCATTGATTGTCAAAGAATTTACTGTTGATGACTCAGAAATAAATCTTTGTAAAGTGCGAATTGAAATAGGAGATTCTTCTAACCATGTGTAATCAATATTGTTATTATTTCTTCTGCAGCTCTTTCTTTCTATATTTACATATGTCGACATATGTATGTCACAGTAGACATGATAATTTAGTTTAGCTTCGAACGCATAAACAAAAAACACTTACATATCATATTAATAGTATGATTCATTTTATCTTTAATGTTTGTTATGGTATATAAACGGTTTTTCGGATATTTCTAGTTTATTCTTTGATATATTCATGGAAGGAATACAACATAACGATAATGGAAGAGAAGAGAACAGAAAGGACGAGCCAAGAATGACTGATAAACAATACACGAACAGAAGTGTTTGTATGTATATCCGAAAGGAAGGAAGAAACAGAAAAACACAGAGAAGAAAATGATGGTACAAAGAGCGGTCATTCACAACGATAAGTGTATGACCAGTGAATCCGTCACATTGTATTCACATTGTGTAATTCTAGCGATTTTAAATTATTGGTCGATTTATAGGAATTTATTTTACACTATTTTTAAAATATTTACACATTGGAGTTTTGGCTTTTTAGCAATGAGCCTTATTCCCAATTCGCTTATTGGCCCCAAACAAGCATAAAAAAGAGACCATGTACTAATTTATTTGTTGCTAAGGGTGGCTCTTTTCTTTCATCCATCTTTTTCTCTTTTTCAATCGTTTTGTTGGAAATTATTATGATTTTATTTCAAATAGAAATACTACTCTATAGAGAACGTCATAATTAGAAAAGTCATGACACAGTCATCCATGTTGCCATATACTTTCGAAGAATGTTGGTTGTCGATTGATAGGATGATTTTCCAATTCTGTGATTTCTTCATTGGTCAAGCGCCATCCCAAACATTCGGCATTTTGTTCCGCTTGATTTCCGTCTTTAGCTCCACCAAGTGGAATCACGCCTGAAAATAAAATATTCACTATATAACAGCGATCAAAACTTCATTTTTTTGAGTTTTTCTCTTCAACGATCAAGACAAATGAGCAAATAGTTTTGACTTTTGTGTTCTAATGAAATGAAAGAAGCCAATGACTTTTCACTAATTTTGAAACACACATTCTGAATTACAATTAGTATAAAATTTAACACAGAACAAAGTGGAAGCTTATGCCCTGTTGAAAAGATAGAATACTCATAAGAAAATAAACACGCTACTATTCATGAAAGAATGAAAGATAGATTGAATACCTTTGCATATCACATAATTGAGCGCAATGGATGAAACGCTAACATTGCGTTTGGTGGCAATACTTCGCATCGTTTCTAATAGTGGTTCCAATTCATCCATGTTGATTCTCGAGCATTTACGGTTGCCAGGAGGTGGATTCGCTCTCGAGTATTTACCTGTTAAACCACCCATGCCCTAAGCATTACGTGGCAAATATTGCATCAGGAAAATGGTTCTTTAACTTACAAGTGGACAGTAGCCTAGAACGGCAACACCTCGTTTATGACATTCAGCAATATGACCAGATGTCTCTGGCAATCGTCGAATAAGCGAATATTCGACTTGATTTGATGCAAGTTGAATGCCATGCTTTTGTAAACAATCGTACATTCTGATCATTTCTGCTGTTGAATAATTCGAAACGCCAACAGTCTTAGTGAGGCCAAGTTTGACAGCTTCAGCTAATGCATCACCAATGACTTCGATGGAACGAAGATGAATGGGACCATGAATTTGATAAAGATCGACGCATTCCACCTAAAATAATGAAAAGAAGTCGTTTTCGATTTTACCAGTAATATTTTCTTTACTAGAAGAACTGTTTGAGTGTCAGAAGTAAAACAGAACAAAGAATTGAAATTATTTTCTCAAGCGGTAAACTTCTGACAACAATTCCATCTCGTTTATTTTTCACCGAAATCTGATTGTTTTTAATTTTCGGAGGCTTCCAAAAATCTCTGAGTCTAAGATTTTTCAATTCATCGACAAACATCTTTATACAGAACGAAATTTTCAAACAAGTTTTATTATTGTTTGACAAAGCACTGCAATATTAGCTTTATTTTTGAAACAAATGCATATTGAATGTGGATATTCGAAAGTGTAGGGCTTTCTGGGTTTTTTTGCATAGATGTCTAGGAAAATAACATAGATAAAATACGTGCTTCACATAAAGTCTTCTTGTAAATATGTTCTTGTTACTCTCCGAAGAATTTGTTTACTATCGATCGTCTTTGATAAAACTTCTGTCAACGTTGGATTTTTGTTTTGAGGAATTTTCGGTATTATTATGAAGGAAAAGTGACAAGACGGCATCGTTATTCTCTTTTGAAAAATGCTCTATCAACTACTCTCATTCTTCTTCGTTAAGTTTTCTTTACATTCCATATTGCCAATCATTTATATTTCATGCAACATATGTTTCAATAAACAGAAAGAACGAACACAGCAGGGAAGTATGACTGACCATTCAATTCTGTTCAGCTAAACTGAAAAATAAACACTTGTTCAGCATAAAAACGATTGAGTATTTTTTCTTGTTTATACTATTATCTTTCTCTAAAAACATCAACTAACGAAAAGTTTCTTTTTTTTGTTTGAAAAATTCTTTTTTATGAAATACATTCACTTTATCGTTGATTAGGTCATGTTGATAACTACATTTGATTTCGGTGATAATAGTCAGAGTAAAGCATCACTTTATTTGTGTAAATCTTGTTTTCACTGAACGAAGAATCGATGGAGATCACAAGATAGTATGAAAGTGATGATTCTAACTATTTTTCTATTTCTTTTGTCACACAATTTCTGATAAATCCATGAAACAATAGTGATATTCTATAGTATACCTTACAAGTTCAATTTTTTTCTCTAATAGAGATTGGAGTAATGTGAAGTTCACTTTATTTGGATCTAGTAATTCAAGGAAAAACTCGACATAGAGCATTATGATTAGAAAATACTGCTTGACAAACAAAAAACAAAATTCTACGACAGACTGCAATATTCATCTTCTCCTCACATGTGAGTATCATCTTATGCTTGCTATTCAATTGGAGACGCTCGTCAATTGTTAATTTGAAAATAGTAAAAGTTTCCACTGTTACCTCATAAGTAGTATTCTGCTCGTATTTATTTTTCGCTTATTAAAAGCAAAATCTTGAAAACTAATTCTTCAGAATGCTTACTAAACGAATCTTTCTGCTCTATTACGAGCTTTACAGATTAATAAAAGAAAGAATACTATTTAACTTTTGAAGTGAAACAATAACTGATTATTTTATTTTGAGAATAAATTGTGTAGCTACGTTAATTTCTTTTGTTTTTTAGAAAAGGTTTGGTAAGCGATTATGGTCATTCAAAATATTATCAAATAATCTCGCAATTCCAGTAAAACAGCCAGTTCGATTTGAGTAGTCTGAAAACTGTATTACCTTCAATCTTGCAAGACTTTCTCGAAGAGCACTAATGAGTGAAGATGGATAGAATAACTTGAAAGGAGTAGGAAAAAACTTTGTAGCAATCACAATATCTGTAGCAGCTGGATGATTTTCCTTGTAGCGAGCAATACAACGTTCACTAAAAACCAAGATTTTTCGTTGTTAGCCTCACAGATTGTATTTTCTGCTCACCTTTCTCCATTGCCATAACCTTCAGCGGTATCAAACGTGTTGATTCCCTTAGATATCGAAATGTCAAATGCGTCCTTGGCTTTTGGATCTGATTCAGGAGTCCAATTCCAAATACGTGTATCACCCCAGGCCCAAGTACCCAGCACTATTCGAGTAAGTATATGCCGGCAGAAATTGATATATTCTAAATATTGTACTCACCGAGAGGAGAAATCAAAATACGATCTGCAAGCTTGATTCTTGTTTCAGCAGTTGGAATTGCATCAGCAGGTAGATAAACATTGTGAACAATAGTAGAAGATGTAGCCATGATCTCTGTGTGGAGTAAAGAGAGAAAATTAGATATTTCTTGAAAATATTATCACAGTTAAGACTGTCAAACACAATTATCGGTATAGAAGAATACATAATTTACCTTGATTGCGACAAAGAGTGATGCATTCAGAAAAAAATAACTAAAATTTTAACGATCGAGTTATGAATAAGAACATGTTTGAGCTATTAATCATCATTGAAGCTGAAATATTTTGCCAAGTTCGACTTTTAATATAATAGATAGAGGTTAAAGTTGTTTTGAAACGAGGTGTTCGAGTTTCATTTTATCAAAAACTTCAGAGAGGTAATACTGAGATAGTGTTATTTTAGAATCTCGAAGTATACTACATGGATAGAAACTTGTATAACAATGAAGAAAAAGGCACAATGAGAAACAATAAGATAAAGAAATGAACACGCACAATGTATTTGCGAATATTTTACTAGTAAATGGATTTTGACAATCGAGTAAGAAGAGAAGATCTGAAATAACTTTTATAATCTCTTTCAAGATTATCAAGAAATTCTACCTTAATACATATTAACACACTGTATTCACACTATGATAGTCAATAACTTTTGAAATATTCGTTCTAAAATTGTAGTCTCCCCAACAATGTTCAGATTTTCAAAGGAAGGAAGTATTGAGCATATTTTTTTCATTATTTTCATTACTTCTTTAGTTTTTATCCTTTCTGAAGATTCCATGACTCTAAAATATCCTGAAGTTTGAACATACCGAAGTCTCTTGATTTGTCCTTGTCTTGGTAATATTTACGTCTGAAATGGCGATATAACTATTCGTAATTATATCGCAATAGCCATATTTTAACGATATACATCAGTGATTTACACAATTTTCTCGCTGTCTAATATATTTGCCAGCAATTAACGATAATTACATGTAATTATCTTCAATTAGACAACGTTTGTAAGTTCACAGTGTGATCGCAATCAGTTGTGTGATAGTTATGCTCATTAACTCAAATTTATATTTCAAGCATATCACAGTTGAGAATATAATTTTAGACCAATAAAACGAATGTGAAGCTTTTTCTCTATATGGAGAAGATTTTTTTACCGTGATTATAAGAAAGAAAAAATACATGTTTGTCCATATTGACTGCATATACATCATTGATACAGTATTTATACCGAACGAAATGCACTCATTCATCGAAAATTATACAATGGTCAGTTTTTTATAAATAAGTATTAGCGAAAGAAATAAGTTTAAGAATTAATTTAGTGTAAGAAAAATAAACTTAAGTAAATAAAAAAAACTATAGACTAAATAAGAATAAATTCAAAAGGACATGAAATAGAATTTAAACAAATGAATGAAAAAAAAAAAGAAAATGAAAATTCAATTATTGTACTAGCAAAGTAGATTCAGGTTTTGCTAGTCTACCGCTTTTTCTTTTCTCACAGATCGACAATGTTTTTTACTGCTGGTGGTGGCTTGTAATATTTCAAACGAATACCCGTACCAACCATGTGTTTCCACATATAATTCTTAGAAAAAGTTGGACAGTTGTTTTTGATTTTATCCGATTTGAATTATTCTCCATTCTCATTCACTAAATATCAAATAATGTTTTTGAATTGATTAAAAATTTTGAAAAATTCTTGGAAATACAAATTATATCTTTTGTTGATTTAATGCATTAATACGATAAAGTTCATAATTGTAAAGATTTTGTTGATTTTGTAGCAAATATTTTTGCCTTAATTGAGACAGAGTCTCCTTTAATTGACTAATTATTGACAATATTTGAGAGCTATTGTCAAAAATCTTCATAGAATATGATATTTTTAAAACATTTTATCAACTTTATTTGTTTTATTGGCTCTCTCTAAAGCAGTGTGTGTTCTTGGTGGATACACTTGTATACATTCATAATACCCATCAATTGATTTGGGTCATTCATGTTTCCTTTCTTCATAAATAATGTTGATGTTAATTTAAATAAAGTTATAGAATTCGATAATTAATGCATTTAAATATAACATTTAATTTAATATACTGATATTTAACTAATTTTATCAACAAACCTACTTATTTTCATAATTGATCATTTGAATAATTTATTAATCATTCATTTAATTTTACTGATCAGTCAAATGATAGTCCGAGGAAAACTATGCTTATTCTTCGATGAATATCGTTAACTATGTAATTGTACTCAGAATACAAACATCTGTTTAGATTAGAAGCCAAAGATGAGTTGTACTGGACTGGGAATCATCAGGATTGTGTCTAGAAAATTGTGGTCTCGAGAAGTAACGAGTTTAACTTTCTCATATTGAGACTGTTCAAATATCGTTCACAGATTATGAAAGATATGATATCGATATAAAGTAAACAACAGGATAGTATAATCAGCATTTTCATTACTTCAAAGACGTAGACATAAAAAAATTGACATTAACTCTTTGAGTATGGGCGATGCGAATTCGCGTCCTTGGAATACTTTCTATGATTATGGTTTATTGATTATTCAATGAAATGAAATTCATAGATAGCTGCACGGTTAAGATTAACTCATTTTCTGATGAATATTGATTGTCCTCAGGGTGTCCCGATCGAAGGGAAGGGGGGGAGGGGTTCAAGGGAACGACTTCAACTTTGAAAATTTTCCATTTTATTCCAGTAAAGTTCCAGTGTTTTATTGTTTTTTTCTGCTCACCAATTACCAAGAAAGACGCTCAAACATTTCCAAATCCGATCAACTTTAACAAAAATCTTCCCATTGGCCTTCTGAACCATCGATCTTGCCAATCCCATCAACATTAAAATACTCCTGGTTGTCTCTTGAGACTTGAAGCAATCACTATACAATTCTTGGACGGTGTGGATACGAGTATTGTTGTAGCACATCTGTTCATCAATCCACACACAAATGCAGAACAAACTTAACTGCGACACCTCACGTAGTACATGTCGGTCTGAGTGATCATTTTCTGACTTGCCATTTTCATCTCTTTGGATGAGGTCAATGCATTATATCAATGAACGTAATAGGTGGTCAACTGTTGGGATTGAAATATGCATATTATATACAATAAGCTGAAAAGTTTATTTTCTTTGTGCTGTCGGATTTCAAATTATAGTAGGAGTTGATTCTTAAAATTCCAGTTTGGATATGTCAAACCCGATTATTTGTTTTATATTAATATATCTTCTGCAAATTACACTTTTGATGTCGAACTGCAATATTATTGTTTGCTTTATCATTTGACATAATTATTTAGTTATCATGAATACAATTTGATTCGTCTGGAATCATTTAATGTTAACATGCTATAGTTAATACAGTTAATTTAACTGTTTCATTACTGATGACATATCTGAATTTCGAAGATCTTGTAAACATTTTATAGTTTTCATCAAGCGTGATAGAAATTTTCTGTTAATAAACTATAAAAAAAAAAGGATATGTTTCTATGTGGTCCATAGCTTAGAGACACATTATAATCCGTTCTACTGTGAATTGAAGTTGATGAGAGTAACTATTTTATTCTAAAAATAGTAGAATATTATAACAAGATGCGAATGCTACAAAAATGTTTACTGAGTGGTGTAAAACGATCGAGATATTAATGATTCGAGAAATAGTTGTCACATTTATACCATTCTACCTTCATATTTAAATTCATTCTTGAGAAAAAGTGAATAATCCACATAACCCCAGGTACAGAGGAATAAAATAGATGAGGAAACCTGAGCACTATCCTTACGATGACAATACAGTACTGTTGTTGAATCAATGTATAGTTATAGACTATATCCATAAAATATCCAAATGAATATTTTTTGAGCAACTCTAGATTTTTGATTGGTCTATTAACATCTATTTTTTGAAGACAAACACTCGAACAATTTCAGCAAATGGGTTTTTGTCATTAAAAGGTTCTATTACAGAAAGTATAGCGAACAAAAAAATTGCGTAGACAAGCACATTTTCATTCATGTCGTCTTCCATTTAGCACCATCTTGTGGCACATAGTTTAAATCTTGTCGACAATTATCCATATCAACCCAACAATAATCATTATTTGAAGAAACGAAATAAATTTCAAACTTTTTCAATATTGATTGTTTTTCTAATATTCGATCAATAAATTGACATAAATCACGATGACTACACCATATTGATTTATCTGACCAATCATACAAGTCAGATGTTATATCATCGGTTGTATTTATCCAACCGAATCTTGCACAAATAAATTTAACATTTACAGTTTCAATTGATGAGTATTGTCTAGCCAATTCTTCACTATATATTTTACTGTTACAATATGCTTCAAATGATGAATTAAAATGGGATGGTATAGGAGAATCATTGATTGTTATCTTTTTCAACAATTTTTTTGGTTGAATATTTTTTGCTAATGATGAATAAGGTTCATTTTCTAAATAGCCGAAAACAGTCATGACTGAACTAGCATAAATAATCATTTCCATATGCTTTTGTTTTGTTGCTATATCAAATAGAATTTTTGTACCATAACAATTAATATGATTAATTTTTTCAACTGTTTCTGTTTCTAAAAGTGACGCTAGATGAATAATAATATTAATTTGATTTTCTTCGATAATATGTGAAAGTTGGTTCTCATCAGTAATATCACATACATAGAATTTTTCTTTTGATGGTAATATTGGCTGTTGACCTTCTGTTATTGGTGTATTTTCAAGCTGATAACGTGTCGACAATTCAATATGTTTATCGATTCCATAAATATCATAGTTGGAATTGTTTGATAGATGTTTAATTAGTATACCAGCAATGAGACCGGATGCACCGGTGATGAGAATCTTTTTAACCATTCTTAGTAGTGAATAAGAATGAAGAAAAAAAAAACTATTATGAAATAGTAATATATGTGCACCTCTCTCTTATCAACTGGTTATGTTTACAGAGTATAGATAAAATGTGAAAACGCGACATAAAGGGTCAACAGAGGAGCAAAATATACTTTAGAAGAGTTTGCCATTGTTTCAGTATTCTGAGACCATTAATCTTCTGTACAGTAGAAATTCACAAAGCATTCAGTGAAAAAACTTCTAAGGAAGATTCGCTTTTTTCTTGGTTATGTAATAAATAGACATGGTATTCTTTCCAATTGATAATCAGCACTAAATCCCTTCATTCATTGGGATTTTCAAAATACCACATGGTTTTCTTATTAAAAACTAATATGTGTTCAGTTCAACAAGCATCGAATTATGTATACTAATACTTTTATAGATAAAATTAGAGCGGTCCAGTAAAAATATTTAATTGATGCTCTGTTCTTGCCGTAGAAGTATCTGAATTCAATCTTCATTGTGAAGTGTGACTACTTGTGTTATTCATTAAGAGTGTCAACCAGAACTTTTCTGTTAATCGTTTCGTTTAATTTGTCTTCGATTACAGTTTGAAACGAAGATATGTTCATTGAATATTTATAATAAGATAAAATTGCTTTCATGTCTTCAAAATGATTCAGGATGATTTTGAAAAATGCTTCTGTATCTTGGAAATTAATTTGATTAACAGGCATGTGCTGAATATCAAGTATGTAAATAGTTCTTTTTTAGGAGTGTAGGTGCAGTTTATGATGGAATGTTCTCTTACCCTAGTGAAGGTACTCATCAAGAGAGTACTCAAAAAGTACTCACCAGTGGTACTCATGCTAGAATCTGAGTACGACCATCGAGTACTTGCCTTAAAATAATGAGTGTTTCACGAGTACTCCTATATAGTTTTTGAGTGCTCTAGTCGTTTATGTAAAATACTCATAGGCCTACATGCTGTTCATTACCGTTGCACTACGTCCATTTTATTCTTTTATATAAAATTAATAATACAAAATACAATACTACATATTGAAAATATGAGAGAACAATCAATACGAGAGTTACAAATATTATTTTATCTGCATTAATTTTTAACATAAATACTAGAGATAAAGAAATATCTAACTTTCTTCTATAACCAACGATGAAGATTTCTTTGTCTCTATCCTATAAAGTAAGAGTACAGTAAACCGATTAAATGACAGTAAAATAAACTTAGAGAAAAATAAATGATAGATTATTCAGTGGAATTGAAATATATGATTACAAATAAAGATTCAGTATTGATTGATACACAACAAAAAAGATAAGTATTTAAAAATCGTTTAATAATTTACAAAAAAAAAGTAAAAAATAAATTATGCGTCTGTAGCCATCGTCTTCACGTGTGTATAATTCAAAATCCCAATCGATTTGCAACAAAACTCGTTATTTCTTTTTTTATATTACGATCCGTCATCAATCTGAAAAACTTTATGTTAATACAGAACTTATTCTCTAAATTTAGAAATTGAGATTAGAATGAATTTCGATTAATATGCTTAATTTAACATTGAATCTTACTCGCGAAGTTAACAGTTAAAAATGAAAAGTCCTTTTCTTTTTTACTTCAAGTCATTCATTCAATGAAATCGTATAAACCAATCATCAGAAAATAATAGAGGATAAAATATAGAATTCATTAAAGCAGTTCTTCTCTATTTCTCATTTAAAATTACATAGTTTTTCTTTATTACATAATTTCAATTTATTTTTGTGCATACAAATGTATAAGCGTTTCACAAAATATTCTGCGAAAAAATTCTTATGAGTACTATACTGAGTACTCGTATGAGTACACATACAGTATTCATACACATAAAATTCTTTAAGTACTCGTACGAGTAACTCGAATACTCATGTTGACAAGTCGTACTTGCTTGATGAGTAGTTTCACTAGGGTAGGTTCATCGATTACAGTAATTTATCGAAAACATCTCTAAAATTATTTCATGGAATGTAGATTAGAAACAACGCCTGTTTTTTCATTGAAAACCAAGGAAATCGGTTGCAATTGTGTTCATTTTTTCTCAGTTATTGATAAAGGGAATAAAAAGAAAATGAAATATACTATTTTCTATCTAGTTGTCTAGTGTGTGTCTATACCAAACTAAGAGTTCGATTGAGCAGAAAAAGAATGAAAATCAACAGTACTATGATGCATGATATGTAATTGCAAGCAAGGTCTGATGAAAGCGCAAAAGTTATTGTTGCATGATCAGATTGTTTTGAACATCGACTTTATGTTCTACAGATCTTGGTTTTCCAGAGTGAATGATTCAATGTTTATTCTGTTACATCTTTAAACAAACTATAAATGAAAATATGAAACTCGTACAATACGCAAGCATGTATATAGTCCTCGAACTTGAATTATTTCTGTTCGATTGATGCGCTTCAGTCACCACCACCTCCACAGCCTCCGCCACCACCACAACCGCCTCCAATTGCTTCATGTGACGATGCTCCACCATCACTCAAAATGTGAACCGGCACGAAAACCATTGCACATGCACTCATGTATTGTGATGTTTGTAAATGTGTTCGATCAATATTTTGGCCGTATTCTGATTTATAAAATTTTTGCCATCGTTCAGCAGTTTTCTTATAAGCATTTATTAAAATATTTGACTCAATTGTATCATCATGATCAAGAATAAAACCACACAAAGCTGTTGAAATAGTTTGATATTGTGATGGATATCTCATATATGTATGCCATATCAAATCAATGTCAAAAGTTGGTACAATCATTTTATTTTTTCTACCGAGTTTCATAAATGATATATAATTTTGTATCAAATGTTAAAAATTCGAACGATCCATATTTTTTAAGTCGAACGAATAAAGATAATGTTTTTGAAATTTTTCAAGAAAATCACGTTGACAAATGACGGCTTTTTTCAAATCGATTGATAGAACGAATGCTGAATGATTATTTATCGATGAAAATGAGTTCTTTGCATCATGTTTGTTTTCACGATTTTGTAGAACTTGACGAACTTTTTTATCGACAAGTTTTCTGCCTAGAAGTTGTTTAGTACAATCGTTGTAATAGATTAATGGATGAAGACGATGGACGTGCCAAATCCATACAATTTCCAATGGAAGTTTCAATTGTTGATGTTCATTGTTCATGGCTTGTCGTGCCATTCGATTACAATAATCATTAATAAAATAATCCAATGTCGATCCTTCTTGTGTTAGTTCTGGTTGAGCAATCACTCGACGAAGCAGTAAGATGTGATGAATCAAGTCATAATACGAGATTCGAAATTTCTTTCCATCCTTTGTTCGAATTCTTGCATCGAAATTTGGGATTGAACGTGACGATGCACAACCCATTTCTTGTCTTAAATAATGTTCATTGAATACTAGATGATGAATACGAGGCGCAATCTGTTGTACAAAATGAAGTAGCACAAGTGGAAGTGGTTCAGTAATAACAAAACGTAGAAAATGAACACGTGGAAGCACAATTGGTCCTAGTAAATTACTTTGATAATCAAAAAATGCCATTGAAATATTATCAAGTGATACATAGGAATGTGAACAAACGGTCAATATAGAGTACGATGAATTGTAATAAGCCAAAACTGATTGATCTTGAAATGTATGTACGAATGTTTCAAGATCGATGCTATTCTCCGGAACATTTCTTATCGATAGAGAAAAATCCAAATGTATGAGTTCGGGTAAATGATACAAAAGACCTTGATAGAACTGTTTGCCATCGATGAATTCTGTCTTGCGAATTGTTATAGTAAGTGAGAGAACATGTAAATGATTTTGTTGATCAAGTGTGTGCTCCAAATGATGGTAATTTATGTCGTATACTATCAATATTAATCCACGTAATCGACATTGAGGAAGTTGTGATGATCAAGAAGGCAAGAATGGTTGTGGAGTGCTTGAATTGCCATTGATATTTACAGTTAAAGTTTGAACGGTGAGTGGTAATACTGCAAGCAAAATTTCGAAAGAAGCTTGAGAATGAACAGATAGATTTAGACATCGCAGATTATGAGTATTGCCAAGTATGAGTACAGATGCTGATTTTAGTGTACGACTTGCAATTGACAGCAAGTGAAGATGATTATTGATATTAGCAAGTGATTTGAGAAGTGATACGAAATGTAATGTTGTCTCTCGATCATGTTCAGTTGGATCAAAATGAAATGAGAGTGATTCGAGTAATGTACCCATCGGTAAATAGTAGAGATCGATAAGAGAGAAAATCTGAGAAATATCAAGCATACGCAAATACGGTAGATATAAATTCAATTTGAAGAGTTGTGCATTTGTAATTCGTACGGCCACGAATAATGAATTGAATGATGGTAACAAGTTTTTGAACCATTCGAGATCGAATTGTTCATGGATCAAGTCTAATGTAGCCAATGATGAAATGAAAGATTTGATGAGTGCAGTCAATCGAGAATGATTGAACGAGCCAAATGTATGAAGAAGATCCACTGTTGGAATATATTGAAAGATCAATGAAAACAACGCGTTTGGTAACGATAGAAGGTTCATCGTACATGTACTACTATTGAAAATAAGTTATCATCTGTTTAAAATCATATCATCAACCTGACACAGCTCTCTTTAATTCAAGTTTTTGTGTCATTTCTCTCTCATTGTATTTTGACCTATGTTATCAAATCGTGACCGATACTTCTTGTTTTCTTCTTATCTAACTATTTCGTGATCAAATTTCTTCTCTTTCTCTCTATGTTCTATTTAAGCTTATTTCACTAAATCATCTATACAGTTTTGACCGAAGTGAATATCGATCTTATATATTTGGCGATAAAAAAGAAAAACATTGTCAACTGTCTAATCTAACATCGATTTGGCTTAGAAATTATACCAACGTTGGTGTCAGTTGTGGCTTACCGAAAGAAAAAAATATCTAGACAAATGAAGTTTGGTTTTTACTAGTAAAAAAAAACAGCGGAATACTACCATTGATCTAGTTACTTTACATCTATGAAGAATAAAAAAGAGAAAAAAGACAATTGTGCTCATATTATAAATTGATTTGTCAATCTGTAGAACATTCTCAATTGTGTCCTGATCACTAGTCAATGAATCCATGCTTTGAATATTACTCTTCTTTCCGATGAATCGAAACTTTCTTTAACCTGATTCAAGTAAGAAAATAGTCTTCATGCAACTTCCTTAAGTGTAAACTATTAAGTATTATCGAGCGTGTTCTGTTGTACACAAATTAAGATTCCAGATGAAGAAAAGAAGGAGCCAATCTCATTTTTGGTGCTATAAAAGTTCAACGTCTATTAGCACTGATACTTCGCAAAACAAAATTGCTACCATTTGATTGTAGTATATTTCTCTTTTCTATTGAAGAAAAACAAAACTCGACTAGGATTTGTTAGTAGGATCATTACGAAAATCAAAAAGTAAGATGACTGAATGGTACCTTCTCCCAGTGACACAGTTTGTCAGAGTTGAAAGAATTAATCTATTTCTAATTCTTTTTCCATAGCTTTTTTTTGTTATCTAAGTTTTTAGATACTAAAATATCAGTTTTTTATTTCATAATTGTCTAGCATAATGCTACGTATTTTGCATCCTCTGTGTACATGAATAAGTAAAAGGTCAAGCTTATAACTATTTTTATTGAATACTCTGAAAAAGCCAATATATAGCTGTTTCTTTTTGTTCATTTTCCCATCACTCGATGCTGAAGAGAGACGTGCAACTTCCTAAAGTTCAAAAATACAAAAAAAAAATTGTATTTGTTCGAACACTTTTCCAGTACATATAAATTATACAGATAAGTCCTATCTAATAATTTGACCTTTAAAAATCCTTTTTATTTTTCATCGAACTGTTTGGTTCAATTTTACAATCATATTTAATACTCAAGAGGAATCTTTTTAGTAGCGTCTGTCTATTTATATCCATTTAGAATGTCATGCTTCATTATCAATAATTTTTCAAAAATCTTATAGAATTCAATAGGATAGAAGTTTAACAAGATGGCAAATATTTTTGTAAACTTTACTATGTAAAAATATGTAACAGAAGATATTGAAACTCATTAAAAATGAGTCTTTTCATGCAAAAAAAAAGACTTTCTTCCATCATCAACATCACATACAGACAGAAATATTATTTTTCGTAAAGTAATATGGAAAAGATTTTAGATAACAAGTAATAACCATTATTAATAAGTCTTTTTGTAAAAACATATTGATTTATAAGTATAACCAGTAGACCATAGTTCACCATTGATGTTTGACTTATTGATGCACAGACTGATTATTAGCGACATCTATGAAACAAAATGTTGATAAGTTAAATTCTTTCTTAACAAATGAACTAAGAGATTCGATGCGATTCATTTTTAACTTTCGTAAAAATTTATCATGAACGATAATCATACTTCCATTGAAAATAATAGTGAATTAATGAATGATATATCAAAAGAAGATCCTATTATGGCTGAAGTAGGAAACTAATCTTTCTAATGAAAAATATTTATTTATAATTTTAAGCGTCGTCGTTTACGTGAAAATGAAATAACAAAAAAACTTGGTGAATATTTACTTAAACGTTATTGTATGTTAAATGATGCTTGTCAAGTTTGTAAGGTATGTAATTCATAATGATCTTTATAAAGTTAATTATTATTTAACATTATATATTCATTAGTGTATTCTTCTTCGTACACCTGATCGTCAATTATATTGTGTTGGTTGTCAGGAAATCGATATTGAAAATAGTTTGTTTGAAAAAAATTAGTATTTATACCTCTGTATTTTTTGTTTTTTGTAGAAAAACCTTGTGATGAAGAAACTGTAACAATAAATAAGAAAAAAGATAATATAAAACATTCAAAAAATAAAGAAAAATCGAATGAAAATATTAGTAATTGTAATCGACTTGAAAATAAACTTAAATGGGCTGTTGATGAAGTAAGATAAATTTTATTTTATTGTTTCTTTTTCTATAATACCAAACAATAAACTCAAATTTCAAATAATAATTTGAATAATATATTTTGCTAGAGAATTTTATTAACTATTCAAACTAGTTCAATGCTTGGTATCATAGAACAAAAAAAAATCAAAAATATTTTAGTCTTATCTTTTTTTTTTACTAATATTATAAAATAATTTTTATTTTCATAGTTAACAAAAACACAAAATCCAAAACGTATTAATGAAATGTGTAAAATTATTACTCAATTGGCACAAACAATCAAAATACTTAAAAAACAAGAAATGACATCTGTAGAGAATTAAATAAAAGAACATTGTTTTTATTTTTCTATAATCTCATTTTTATTCTTGCAAAGCAAACTATTTGTTTCTTTCCTTTTTCAAGATATTAAAACCATGGTACGTAAAACTGCAAAACATGTGGCAAGAAATAAGAAAAAATATTGGAGAAAAATTTCAACACAAGATATTGAAGATCATTTAGAAGATGTTCGAGTACAAGAAATGACAGGGTATGTTTTTTAAAAGAGTTATTAAAAAATCCTCCAGATTTCTAAAGAGTAAAAGATTTATTTTTAGTGGACGACGATCTGATCAACCTGATCATATTTTATATCATATTGATAATGCTCGTCCACTTGGTTCACAATCACCATCAACAGAAGAAATTGAATCATCATCTTCGATTATTCTTCGTTCAATATCTAAAAAACGTCAACCACTTGATTTAAATAATCTTAATACATATAAACTTTTACAGCCACATAGTAGTGTACCACCACCAAGTGTTGAGTAAGTTTATTTTAAATATTAAATAAATAAAAGAAAATTCTTATTTTAGTTCACGTCAACCAAAAGATCCATCATCAAAATCAACAAAACGTCTTTTGGAATCACAAAAATTAGTTGAAACACGTCGAGCTGCTAAAAAAAAATATCAAAATGCAATAAAACAACGTTCTCAAGCTTTAGAAAAAAGTGCTTTAGATAAAGTAGAAAAATTAGCACTTGATGATCCTCATGTTTCACAAAGTTATGATTTATGGAATACAAAAAATGAAAAAAAAAGTAAGAAATTAATTGAAAATTATTTTCATAAGTCTATTCTTTTTTTTTTTTTTTTTTATAGAAAAAGTTCAATCAATTGTTGGTCCTCAATTAGCTACATATATAGAACAAGTTAATCAAACATATGATTGGAAAGTTCCAAAACATATTATTAAAAAACCATCAAAATTATCAGCTATTGATAAACCATTACCTGGTACATCATATAATCCTACTTTTGATGATCATCAAGTAAAAAATTCATATTTATTTATATTTACTATTTTTTGATTAAATTAGGATTTACTTCGAAAAGCTGTTGATGTTGAAATTGAAAAAGAACGTAAAGAATTAAAATTACAAAAAAATTTACCAACATTATTAACACAAAATGCAGCCGAACCAATAAAAGTATGTAATATTAATAACAGAGAATTTTCGTTATATGAAACATTGTCATAGGAACCGATCGGATCTAAAATTTTTATAACCCCCTATTGCGAATATTGGCTCTTTTCAAATGAATTAGATCAAGGATTGTCTTATTTTATTTTATCATTAGATTTGTAATAATGCCATTTTAGTTTATGTGACCTAAAATCGAGTCTTTATCAAACCTAATAAAGTGATGGAAAAAAGTTTAGAAACAACGATTTTTTTGGGTTTTTTTCATAATGCTAAGCATGTAGTTCCAATCCAAATAGTGATTTTAATAGCCAATGGAGTTTTCTATCCAATACACTTTATACCAAGATTTTACAGATGAACAATGATGGTAAGACTTTAAAAAAACGAACATGGTATTTTTCAGATTCTAGAAAACTTTGTCAGAGCTATTTTTGAACGGTGCCATCTTAAAGAGCATAAAATTCTGAACAAAATGAGGGGTCGCCGAGTTTCCTACGACCTTCTCATAAAAAGTTACAAGAATCAGGAAAAACGAAATTTTTTAAAAAAATTGACTAAAAACGCCTTCTTTATGATTTTTGTGATGCTTGTAACTTTTTACGAGAAGTTCATAGAAAACTCGGCGACCCTTCATTTTGCTCAGAATTTTGTGCTCTTTAAGATGGCACCGTTCAAAAATAGCTCTGGCAAAGTTTTCTATAATTTGAAAAATACCGTGTTCGGTTTTTTAGAAGTCTTGCCTTCATTGTTCATCTGTAAAATCTTCCTATAAAATGTATTGAATAAAAAAATCCCATTGACTATTAAAATCACTATTTGGATTGGAGCTACATGCTTAAAATTATGAATAAAACCAAAAAAATCATTGTCTCTAAGCTTTTTTCCACCACTTGAGATTGAATAAATAAAATGTGATATTCAATTATTCCTACAAATAAAAAAAATAGTTTAATGATTGAAATTAATATCGTTTATAAATATGAAGCTATCATAATTGACTGGTACTACTAATCAATAGTAACCTCATTAAACTGACGAGAAAAGTGCACAAAGTAATAAATCAATTTTGAGATGAGTCTTATCGTATTAGGTAAACTCGTTTGAGACTCGAGAAAGTCTAAAAGAATTCCTATTCATGAGACTAGCTTATTGTGCAAGTATTAGGCTTTCTCTAGTCTCATTAGAGTCAACCTATTTCGTCTGTAAGTAGATATTCTTTGCTTTACTGTTCTTTCGTACAGGACACAGTCTATATAATATAAAATGAAGTTTGAAATGCTGAGTTTAGCTAATCAGGGGTGTCACTAGGATTGGATATGGCAATGATCCGAGAGGTTAATACGGAGAGTTTTACTAAAATTGACTAGATTTTCAAGGAACTGGTGATTATTATTATTATTATTTTATTTTAATTTAGCAATCATGGTTAAAAGAAATGTCATCAGGTTTATTTGATGATAATATTGCACATGAATCAATATTAGAAACTAATCAATTAAATTCTGTTAGTGTTGGTAAACCAGTTAAAGTTGAAACAAAAACTATTCAACAACGAAATAAAGAAAAACTTCATAAGAAAAAACAAGCTTTAGCTAAAGCAGCTAAAGAAAAACGTATTCAAGATAATAAATTATTTCGGTTAATGATTAAAATAAATAAATTTATTATGTAATATATTGTATTTTTTTTTTCTTAGAGTAAAATCTATTCGAAAAGAAATCAATACTGACGAACTTAAGCATAAACAACGACAAGAAACACGAAAGGATGATTATGAAAATCGAGAAAAATATGGTACGAAAAAATTTGGTAGATATAAATTTGAAGAAGCTGATTTGGATTTAAATTTATCTGATGAAATTACGGGAAATTTACGAACAATGAAAGTAAATAAATAAAAATTTTATTTTATTTTTTTTGTTTAAATTGACTTTTATTTTCATTAGACTGAAGGTAATTTACTTCATGATCGATTTAAATCATTACAAAAACGAAATATAATTGAAACACGTATTCGAGCAAAGTATAGAATATTTCAATTTCTTTTTTTTTTTTGTCTTTATAAAATATTTCATTTTGTAGACCAACAAAAACAAAAATGAAAAAATACGAAAAACGATCTGTACGAGAAGTTGGGTATGAATTTTAAAAAATAAGAATATTTTATTATTTAATTCTCTTTTTTGTTTGTTTTTTTATTTCTAGAGAAAACTATCGACCAAAATAAGTGGTTTTTTTTTGTTGTTGTTGCTTTGTTGAATGTTTTGATTCATTCAAAATAGAAAAAAGAAATAAACTTGTTATTGTTTTAATTGCATTTACTCAAGCGACAAGTCTACATTCGAGCTTTGTGCTCTGTTCTAATTACCTTTCTTGCTTAGATATATGACCTTTTCTTTTATAGTTATATTGTCTTAAACAAGAGACAAATGAAAAATGATTGATAGGATATAAATAGCATGTAAAATAGAACAAAAGTAGCTGTGCCTCATCTCTTATGAATTGGTACTGTTCTTTATGCTATTAATCTGATAGTTTACATGCATGCATAGGACAATTTCGTGAAAGAACAAACATATTCAATAGAAATATGTAATCAAGAAATTTTCGTTTGTTAGTTTGCTATTACTGTTTTTTTTTAATTTTAAAGGCAGTTTCAAATGCTAATTTTATTGTCACCAAAGCGCGTGACACGTAGTTAAGATCTGAGTACATCCTGAGATAATATGGAAAATTTCTACTAAAGTTTTCCAATGAATTATTCGGAAGCATCATGAAAAAGATTTATGTTGCCAAAAAAAAACCAACGTTTACTTTTCAATAGACGTAACAATAGCTCAATCATTTTAAAGTAATTTCTTACAAATATCGGACTAATGATAGTTGTGACATTAAGTTTTCAAATAAGGGTTGGACGAAAGTATTTGTACCAACATGTTCAAGATAAAGTAATCATAACCTAGTACCTGTTAACCGATGGAGAGTGGGTTGATTCTTACGATTAAAATTTATTGTTGCATCTAAAATGTCAGTTCTTATACTTAATTAAACTTGATTAAAAAAAAAATTATATTTAAATTTCTATGAAAAGACCTTCTAATCAAACTATTCTATATAAATAATCATCTAATTATTGAATCATTCATTTGTGAAACCATCTAGAAAACTTGTTCTTTTTTTTCACTGTTCAGATGTATCAATACAAAGAATTTATTTCCATATAATTTTTTTTCAATAAACCATGGTTATTCTTCATCGTACATCTAATGCATTAAAATGGTATCGTTTAACATTATGTCGATATAAATATCGTCTAAATCATCCGGGTGTTCATATTCCACATGGTGTACAATATCAAACACCATATAATCTTCCTGATGAATATGCTGATCATCCATTATATCCACCTATTCGACCAAAATATCCACCAGGTTTTTTTATTCTATTAAATTATTATTATTTTTTTTGAATATTTATACAAAAATAATAGGTTCTTGGGGTTCAATGGATTCAAAAAAAGCTTGGATGCATTTTGAATTAGGAGAAAAATATTATCGACATTTAAAAAGTGTTAAAGAACGTTTAACAATCATGGCCTATCAAAATATGATGTGTTATTATGATAAATTAGATGTTGAACAAATTGATTCAAAATTAATATGGATGGTTAATGGTCGACCACGTTCACCACGTAGTTTACCATTTTATAAACATATTACACGAACACATGTTACAGATGAATTACCAAAATTTTATGAACAAATGGATGTTGAAAGTCTTTTAAATTATGTTAAACCTGTATTGATTGAACGAATATTAGCAAATGAATATGCACAAAAAGATGATATACCTTTAGAAGATATGTATGATAAAGGTGATTATAAAATATCATCAATTATAAATGAAAAACAACTTAAAATTGATCAACAACGAACAACAAATGTTTTAACAAATATGATTCGAACTATTATTAATGTTCTTGCTGAACATAAACCATACTTGAGAAAAACACTTGTTAGTAAACAAATTTTTTTTTTCTCTTCCTAAAAATTCGATACTTTACTTTAAAAAAAACGAGAATGAGATTGCTGCGTAGCTACTACTTTAAAGACAATCCTATATGTCTACTTTATTATTACCAGAGCTGATGACACACAGTCTCAAGATATTAAACCTATGTCATCGTGTTAAGTCAGTTTCATTCGATTGTGGGACTTTAAAAATTCCAGAATTGACTTGCTGTCTCATAGGAATTGTCTAAAGAATTGATCAAAATTATCGCAGAGAAGATCCATCTTACTAAAAACCATCATTTGCTCTTCTGATAGTGATCTTTCGAATGAGGGATTTGATGAAAATGTTTATGCCAATATAGTTAAGATAAGGTGATTATAATAGGAAAATGATGTCTAAATCAATGCAAGGCGAATCGGTGCTTGCGATCAGAAGTTTATTGTTGCATGCATACATCCAAAACATCAACTGAATAATAACACTTCAAAGGAAATTAGCACCTATGTTGTCAGATTTGGGTCTGTAGCTCCACTATTTCCTATAATCAGTATGTCTACAATGTGTTTACATTGAGTATTCGAATAATTTAATTGAAATATTTGTTTTTTTTTATTCTTGTTTAGATTGGATCAGATGTACCTATTGAAGCATGGTGGAGTTTAAATCTTAATGGAGAAAAATATGATCGTGCTAAATGGCATCATGATCAAAATACAACTAGTTTTCAATTTCGTGATAAAGCAGCTGTTCAAGTTAAAACTTCAAGACCATTAAGAAGTGTAAATTAATTTGTTTGATTGTTTTTTTTTTATTCCCATCAAATAATATTGAATTTTATAGATTGTTGATCCTAATAGTAGTTTATGTCAAACACCTGTTCCTCTATGTTCATATCATCCACCAGCTTTTAAAGTTTTTACTGATCGTTATTTACCAATGCAAATACCAGGTAATTAATCTACATAATTCTCGTTATGAGGTCAAAAATCATTTTCAAACTTATAATTTGATGTTTTCTTCTTTTTTTTTTTTTTGTTTCAAAAGGTCATTGGCATGGTGAAGGCCATGATTTTAATCTTCTATCAATGTATTCAATGGATTCAATCTATAAATATGATAGTTATTTTAATGAAGATGAATTATTACCTAGTCTTATGTCATGGATGGTTAATACTGGTCATGCTGAACTTTTAGCACAAGCTTATTATCTTGGTTTTTCAATGTGGAGAGAACCAACATATCCTTTAATAGCACAATTAGTACTTAGTAATCGTCGTCAATGGATATTTGGTGTTTATCAATTAAATACTATAGGACATTTTAAACCACATGATGCTCAAATAACATCAAATATTTGTTGGGTATCACCATTGATGAAGTAAAAATTTCTTTTAAAGTTTTGAATTTGTTTTGATATCTTTTTTTTTGTTAAATAGTCTTTATGATCGAATAGAAAATGGTGAATTAATTAATTTTAATGATAATATTCTTCGTCAATTATTACGTTTTATATTAAATGAACCAATAATGGAGCCTAATTGGAATCTAACACCATATGTTGAAGATCTAACAAATTTAGATGAACGTTATAAAAAATTTATACGTAATCTTTATGAAGTTGTTAAACTTGAAAAACAAGATAGTCGTGATCATCATCGATGGGCTAAAATAAGTCATGATACAACAGTATTTAATCGTCGTTATGCTATGATGACAACATTATTTAAAGATATTGTTTTTGATAATTGGCCAAGAGAATGGTATGGAAGAACATTAGAAAAAATTGAACGGAAAAAAAATATGCCGTTATTTAAAGAATATGATCTACTTATGCCTGTTACACGTTAGATTTTTCATAATAAATCAATTAAAAATAATAATTTCTTTTTTAATTCATTGAAAATGAAGTATATCGATTTTTTAGTCTGCTTGAATTAAATCTCAAGCTTATCTGATCTAACTGTTTGCATATGTTTTAACTTCAAGTACAGCGTATTTCACATAAATACTTATCGTTGATGTATAAAACCGGGAAGCCAATGATCGATCGCTCAAGGTTCCAGAAATTTTTTGCTTATTTTGATGTTTGAAAAATCTCGAGTAAATTACGTGGCTCTTAAGTTAAAAGGTTTATTTGAACTGACTGCTTTATTTATGCTGTCAGCTACCAAAAAAAAAACACAGCAAAACTTGAAGTATATTGATGAGAAACAACATCATATACAATAGTAAAGTCACAATTCAGATAGATCTCTACATAGTTCTATGAGAAATTCTAGACGCTTGTTATTTTCTCCAAATGTGCTTGGCTTATACAAAACGTGTTGGTTTTAAGTTTTATAGTCAAGACGTATAAATATTGACAAGTAATATTTTAGTTTCCATGTTTTGAGATGTACAAAAAGACGGTGCAGTTGATCATAGTAGGGTATTTAATAAAATACAATCAATGTTGCTCATATCATATTACTTACTGCATCGATCATCGAAAATCTCGTACAGATAATTATGATTATGCATTCTCTCTCTTTATGACTAAAACAAATTGCATGATGTGAAAAACTTTCATAGTTACTGCTCTGATGTATTGGATCTTTTTAGATTCTCTATCAGAGATGAATCAATTGATCATTCTCATCTTTGTGTGGCTATAAAGGGATCTATCAATGATTGGATCATGAAGGCAGTAGAAGCTGGCGCTATTGACGCCGATGATTTCAAATGTTGAGTTGTCTGACATTATAAACAGCAGTTCTCATTTAAAGTTTCAAAACTAAAGATGTCCATGTGTGTATTTTGTACTATATGAAATTTTTATTTTTCCTTGAGATTAAGATTGACTGAGAATCGCGTTTGTATTTCTTTGAATGAGAACAATCGATTGAATGATTTTGACTTGATATGAATCATCATTGGCACATTTTTATATTTTGATTGTTTGGCGCAATCGAAAAATATTCAACATAATATCGACTTCAAGAATTATAGAAATTTTTTGACCAGAATTAATAGAATGCGAATGTTATCGATCTGGTTCGTTAGATTTGATTTTTTCCAGTGAAATCAATACCAAGTTCTTAAATTGACAAGACGTTATTGATATTGATTTTTGACTTTGTTAGCTGACATTGATTTGTACTTACAGAAGAGAATAAAAGAGCGGATTCTCCTAAAGTCAATATCACATATTCAACAAATAATAACAGTTCTGTG